ACAATAGCCTATCCAGAAACACTGTGGCAGACAGAATTTTGGAATCTTGCAGGAGATTTGCACAGCCAAATAAGAATCTTTTTTTTTTTTTAATGAGGGAATTGCTTTTCTTTTTATCAAACTATAAGACTGATGGTCTATATCTTAGATAATGGAGTGCATTGAATTTTTAATACCCGGTTGCATTGTATTGTGTATGTATTTTGTCATAATATGCCTTAACAGTGTCACACTATGACAGAACATTATCCAAAAATAACTGTCTCTATCACTGATACTGAACCAATGAAGAACAACAAAATCCATACACCATTCTCTTTTTCCTGAATTATACATTCTATAAAACCCCAAGGAAGTGTTCACACGACTGCTCATGCAACCAAAGTTCTCCAAGTTCCTTTTCAAAGATGCCTTTTTTTCAAACCACCTTGGAGAGAATGCTATTTTTTCATGTCTCCCCAGTCTTCAGCAAAATGCAAATTAATGTAATTCTAAATGACAATTAAAGTAAACTTATTTTCTGAGTTGTGTTTACCATGTCCCTTGTGGGTTTGAGGAACCTGTGAAAACCCTTGCTCTAGTTCTGTCAATGTCAAACTTTGACAAAAACAATTGTTCGGCTCCCTCTGTAAAGTGATACAGAAAGTAAAATGTTCCCAGTTCCTCCATATCAATCTTTTGAAAGAAAGTAAAAAACATGAATTCCTTGAAAAAATGCCACCGCTTAGCCAATGTCTTTTTAAAAAAAATCTTCTTTGTGCATTAGGGGATTTGACTGTAGTCAGTACATCTCACAATGATATTCAGTTCATTTAAATAGCCTTCTAAAAAAATATTCAAGATTTATGTACAAATAATACAGTTTCTCTGCAGCAAGCTTGAAAGCTAACATCAATTAATTTAGGTTTAAGTGATTAAGTGCATCGTTTTCATATAAAGAACTGTCCTGTCTATCATTTTTGCCAGAATCCACTCAAGTTTCAAGTTTTTTTTTAAAGATTAAGTTTTGGTAAAAGATTAAAGTGTCTAGAAGATTGCATACATGTGAAAGTGACAGATTTCCTACAGTCATTTAGAAAGAACCAGCCTTTTAACACAGAATGATAAGAAACCTGTTGAGTTTTAAAGAAACCAGCTCAGTTTCAGATTTTCCACAGCAGTAAGTTGCAATCCATTTCATTTAAGGTAATCGTGGACACGACTGAGAGGTACCGTTTAGTTTACTGGAACTTAATAAATAGTGCTTTTCTACATTGGAAATTCATTAGGCATTTTTAACAGCAGTTCCATTCATAAAAATGGTAGAATAGGATGGTGTTATAGGTATGAATATTTCAACAAGAAAATAGTTTAGGATTTAAGGTTTGACTTTGACATTACACTACCATTTTACAGCAGATTCCTCATACATGTTAGAGAAATTAAGATCATCCTTATGTCAAATTATTTTATTTATGGTAATTTCCGGTCACCTCATCTTGGGTTGTACAGGACATGTTTGAACATATTCTGAGTGTTGGGGGTAGGAGGGTTGTGATAGTTCAACAAGGTAGGGGTTTTGGGGGTGTACTGGTGTATCCCTAGCCTTTAGTGCAAGGATCGTAAAAAGTCAATGTTTATTTCAGTCATTTTCACTTCGGTGTTTCCCGCCCTGTGTTCTTAAAAATAATTCAAAACCTGCTCCATCTAATCTTTGTTACCAAACCTTGAGTTCATCCATCCATACATTTTCTAAACTGCTTATTCTCAATGGAGCCCAGCTGACTGGGCAGGAGGTAGGTTACACCCCGAACAGGTCACCAGTTGATCACAGAGCCACACAGATATAAACAACCATACACACTCACATTCACTCCTAGGGGCAATTTAGAGTGTCCTAAAAACCTAACATGCATGTTTTTGGACGATGGGAGGAAGCCAGACTACCCGGAGAGAACCCACACAGACACAAAGACACCATGCAAACTTAATACCAACAGTCCTGGTTTCTCCAGGGACTAGAAACGGGAATCCTCTCGCCGTGAGGGGCCGGTGCTAACCACCACACCACCGTGCCGCCTTATTTGTGAACCGTTGTATATCTTGCTCTATGTTTCCAGTCTCAAGTTTTCTTCCAGAATGGTCCTGTATGTTGCTCAATCCATATTCCCATCAATCTTAACCATCTTCCCTGTCCCTACTGAAGAAAAACAGGCCCAAACCATGATGCTGCCACCACTATGTTTGACATTGGGGATGGTGTGTTCAGGGTGATGAGCTGTGTTGCTTTTACACCAAACAAAACGTTTTGCATTGTGACCAAAAAGCTCGATTTTAGTTTCATCTGACCAGAGTACCTTCTTCAACACGTTTGGTCTGTCTCCCAGATGGCTTGTGGCAAACGTTAAACAAGGTTTTTTTTGGAGTTTGCATGTTCTCCCTGTGTCTGGGTTCTCCGGCTTCCTCCTAACCTGCATGTTAGGTTGATTGGGGAAATTGCCCTTAGGAGTGAATGTGAGTGTGTGTGCTTGTTTGTCCTTGTGTGTCCAGGGTGTACCCTGCCTCTCGCCCGTTGACCACTCCAGTTCCCCCCGCGACCCCATCAGGGAATAAGCGGTATTGATAATGGATGGATGGATGGTTCACAAATATTCATATTCAGGCATTAGAATGGAATCCAATCGAAAATCTCTGGAAATAACTGAAAACAAATGCTCTCACTGAGTTTGAGCTATTTTGCAATGGGCAAAGATTCTCTCGATGTGCAAAACTGATAGACGTACCCCAAGCGCTACAAAGTATTAACTCAAGGGGGCTGAATAATTCTGCACGCCCAAGTTTTAAGTTTTGTATTTGTTAAAATTTGAAATATCCAATACATTTTGTTACATTTTGTCCCACTTGTTATTGATTCTTCACAAAAAATTACAATTAACATTTGAATTAAATCTACTCAATTTATATGACAGAGGTGGGCTGGGTGTGCCAAATTTCAAGTGGTATTATTGGGCTGCTCAGCTCTTTAGTACTTCTTGCTGGTTTTCAGCAACTGACATGTCGTGGGTAAAAATAGAAAATATAAATACCACTCCTTTATCCCTAAATTCATATCTTTACTCAAGGAAATGCAACGAGTTATTAAAAAATACCTCCAACCCATTTGTTAAAAATACTATCCGAGTATGGTATGATGTACATAAATTCAAAAATGAAATACCAACACTTTCCCAATTCTCCCCGATCTGGGGCAATATGTCATTTGAACCAGGCAGGAAAGACATGGGCTTTAAAAAATGGTTTGCTAAAGGTGTATGCAAAATCTCAGACTTATTTGATAAGGGGATTATGATGAGGTTTGAAGATTTGAAACAAAAATTTGACCTTCCAACTAAACATTTTTTTAAGTTTTTGCAAATCAGAAGTTTCGTCTTGGGTACTCAAAAGTCTTTAACATTGCCTACTCTTACTTCGATAGAAGAATTGGCAACAAATGACCATTTGAAGAAGGGCCTAATATCCCGCTTTTACAACATCATTAAAGGCAGCTCCCAGACATCCTCAGAGCACAAACGACTGGCTTGGTGTGAAGATTTTAAATGTAACATATCAGTAGAGGAATGGCAGAGGGCCTGTCTAAAGGCACAGACACAATCTATTAATACTCAATTTAAGTTAATCCAATACAAATGGTTGATGAGAACCTATGTTACTCCAACATTACTAAATAAATTCAATTCCAACATCCCGGATACATGTGCTAAGTGTGGAGATAAAGGCAGTTTGATTCATTGCCTTTGGGAATGTCCTGAGAGCCAGAAATTTTGGAAGGAGGTTTTGGACAAACTTTCACTTATCATTGGTACTGATCTTAATCTCTGTCCTAGGTTGTGTGTTTTAGGAATTTTTCCCACTCAAACTCAAATAAGCAAGGTCGATCAAAAGTCCATCATTTATTGTTTGGTGCAGGCTAAATATAGTATAGCCAGGTCCTGGAAATCTGTAACCAGACCCCAAATAAAAACTTGGATGTCTACATTATCAAGCTCTCTTGCCTTGGAGAAACTCACCTTTATGATTAAGGGTAAATACTATGTGTTCCAAAAAATATGGGAAAAGTTTTTGCTATTCTTGGAAAATTTAAATACTCATAATGAGGATTGACTGAATGTTCTCTAGCTAATTTTGACTATGTTTTTATTCACATAGTGACTGTAAGCCGGTTATCTTCATGTTAACTCCAAATGTATTCACTTGCACAAAAATGTGTGTAACTTAAAGACTGACACTGACTGTCGGGATGCATAGAACCAGGGAAGACATTGCCTTCACCTCATATCTAGCCCGTGGACTGTGATTAAATATCCTGGACTAAGTCTCAACGTACTACCCTGAGAGATCAATCTTGAAATATTTTGTCGCACTGTAATAAGCCAACGTTGGTCACCTTGAATGTTTAAATTGTTAATGTGCTTTCTTTTCTTTTAATTTTGTTAAGTGTTTTGTGCACTTTTGAGTTATTTGTATGTATGTCTCTTTGAATTGTAAAAAACAATAAACAGATTTTTGAAAAAAAAAAAAATCTACTCAATTTGTTTGAGTGGTTTGAACTTAGTGTTACTATTGCATAAACTTAGAATTCTAATTATAATCAACTCAATTTTATATTTCATGGTACTCAATGTTGTTTTTCAGGTCTGCTTTTTTTTTTTTTTACAATTACTTAATTCATAAGGTAAATCTAAAGAATTTCACAATTTTCAAATATACTCAATATTTTAAGTGTAAAAATGTTACACAGATTATCCATCTCAGAGTCATTCCCCCCTGGAGAAGGGAGGTTTGCCTGATGTAAATAATACCAAAACCTGATGGTTTACCACTTGAAAGTATTATTATTGGCAGTGTCTTAATTGTAACATAAATACACTGATTGATAGGCTCCCTAATGGCTCTGTTCTAAAAACACACCTCTTTTGAACCTTCAAAAGAATTTGAAATATGAACATAAATGTATTCATTTTGCTTTCAACTTTATTTAACAATGGCACAATTACAAAGGAATGGTTTTTCAATGTTAGCTCAACAAATGTAGAATTATTTCCTAGCAATGTAATCAACAAAAGTTGTAAATCAACCAAAACCAACAATAATTATTTATCTAAAAAACATTTTAAATGTAGATTGTATGGTATCAATGACTATGATGGAATAAGTGCAAACATAAACTATATGTGACTGAAAGATAACTGACAAATTATTCAAAATGCTAAATTATGTACAAACTTTTTTCTGTCATTAATAAAACAAAACTGATTACTAACATCTAATGTTGTTCAGTCGGTAACATGTAATTGGCATTATTGTGAATGGGTTTTATTCAATAATTTGCGAGTTGAATTGTAGTGAACCATATTTTCAGTTATGAAAGTTCATTTCTGCCCTGGGCTCAAAACTACCATGGAAAACAAAACACAAGAGGTTCCTGTGTGCAAGTGATAAAAACTAAATTTTGTTATCTCTTTCGTTTTCCTTTAAAAATATGTTACCTGAGTAAACCCACAATAGCCTATTACAGATTTTGCAGTTTGTAAAAGTTTGATATGATTTCCACAATATTTTGGGTGTACAATTGTTCAACAGGTCATACAATAACATCTATTTTTTCTTACTTTCAGTTCAAATGTAGGAAGAGTCACTCAGCATCCTTAATTTTTTAAGAGGATACAGAGGGCCAGAAATTAAATTTAACAATTGGAAACAGGATAAATCTATCAGTATGTTTTCTTACCACTAAAGCACTTATTATTATTATTATCATTAATTCATTCCTGAAAAGGTACCTGTCAGATTTACGGACAGGCGTGATCAGTCTTGTTTTCATTTAATAGTGGCGGGTATTGGTTTCTAAAAAGGAAAACTTCAACCTCAGGCCATGGGGAGCTCATGATAGGCTGCGTACTGTCCAGTGACGTGATGGTAGATCTGTACAAACAATAAAAAGAAAAAAGAAAGAGCATATGAATAGAAAAAAATATGGTACGTAATGAAAAATGCAAGTTTGTGTGCCAAGTTCTTACCTGTCTCTCAATGTCAGCCAAAAGGCTGCTGGCTCCCAGGCGAAACAGGTGGGGGCAAAGCCAGTCATTGCCCAGTTCCTGTTTGATCAGATTCAACCACACCAAAGACTCCTGTGCTGTCCTGATTCCTCCTGCTGGCTTAAATCCCACCTATGATAAGCAGCAATAAGGATTTAATAAAACAGTTAACTGTTGCGCGCAAATTGTGTTTTGAAATCTAATCTAATTTACTTCAGGGAACCTCAACAATTCTGATATTTCTATCTCTATAATTCCATTTTCTCAGCTTACCTTTCTTATTACTTAGCAAGAATGATTCCCTCAAATAAATTAGAGCAATTAGCCTGAAACTGAAGTCCTGCCTGGTGAAGCAGACCTCAGCTTCTATTGCTGTGTCCTTGCTTTCATGAACCAGCACAAATGGCAGCCTGTAGCAGTAGCACTTGAGGACATAGAAAAGACGTAGACATAGACTTGATTTTATTCATCCATTTGGATGACTCTTTCAAGGAAATTCAAGTTCCAGGAGCTTAACATTGGACAGAAGCAGACCAGAGAGGGCAAAAAAGAGAGAAGGCTAGGGTACAAAATTCTGTATAACTATAACATCCACAATAAAACTAACCTCAACCTATCCAATCAAAATTAAGAGAAAAAAAATAGCAAAAAAAATAAAACTACTTACAAAATATTAAAGTGAAAGTGACATTGAATTAGATCAGGCTGTTATTGTTTGTGGTTATAGACTGAAATATTGCACACGGATGAAGATAGATAAATACCGATTGCACAGTTTAGCATTATGCACAAATTATGTTTTTAAGTTGACCCCAGGGCATGTTACACCTGGGGACTGGGGAGGCTGAGGAAGATCCGCTGGAACATCTTCATTAAGTGTGATGTGAGTGCCACTGGTCTGAGGTCGTTTAAGTCACTGTGCCACTTCTTTTTAGACACTGGGACAATTCAGGATGTCTTCCAGAGGGTTGATAAATCTCCCTAGCTGCAGGCTACGATTGAAAACCCGTTCAGTTCGTTTGCCCTTTCCATAGTCCTCCCCTTGACTTTGGTCCTGGTGTTGTGGCCTGTGATGGTCCTCACACCTTCCCAGACAGACCCCCAATGTTGTTTCTTCTGCTTCCACCTTTCCTCTGTGGCTGCCCTTAGCTTCCCTTTCACGGTGATTCACCTCCTTCTGTGCTGCATTCATGGCCACCCTGTCTAAGCTCCTGAAGGCAGCCTTCCTCTTATTGAGGACAGCTTTGACAGCGGGCCGTCTGAACAAAGGAGACCACATCTGTGCAGTGTTCAAGCAGGCTGTCAGACAGTGTCAGCCCTTCTCAACAAATGGGTCAGCTCATCCCAGTCTTTGGTGTTGTAGCACTCTCTCAGGACACTTTGTATCTAAGGAGACCACCTCCTGAAGTTGCAAGTTGTAACAGGCTGCTTTTGGACAAAGACATTGTACAGTGGCTGTAGGTGAACCAGGTTGTGATCTGACTTCCTAAGTGGGGTAGGAGCGTGGCTCCATATTCATCCCTAACATTTGCATACAGCAGGTGGATTGTCCTGTTATTCCTTGTAGGACAGTTTATAGCTTGGTGGAAAACAGCCAAGGTAGGGCCATATTTACGTGGTTGAAGTCCCCAGATATAATGCCTCAGGATGAAGTTGCGAATGTTCTGCAGCTTCGCTGTGAGTGGATCTTCTCACATGTGGTGCCTGTATCTTCTCTCAGTGGAATGTAAACCCCAATGGGAATCTAGTGACTGAACTCCATCAGTAGGTAATGTAATCGCAGGTTAACGGGTAATAGGTCGAGGTCCCGGCAACACCAAACAGTCTTTACAGATGTTCTGGGTTACACCAGCAGTCATTTGCATACATGATGAGACCCCCCTTTCCTTTTACCACTCCCGTTCACGTCTCTGTCTGCTCTCACAGTATTTAATCCCAGAAGGTCCATGTTATCATCTTATACGAGGTGTTTTAGGCATGTCGTAAAGATGAACAAGCTTCTCTCCCTGACGATCCACCGATTGTTCAGTGGAGACAGCTCATCGCTCTTGTTCAGCGGCGAGTTCACTTTCCCCTTTCCCTTGAAGACGGAGGGAATCAATGGTTTGTAGGGTCGCCGGTTGTCCACTAGTTTAGCCTTAACCTTAGCCCCAGCCCTAATATGTAACTTCAATACACTGTCTCTGGGAATTTAAGAATATTCAACAGTTTTGGCAGGCTGTGTGCACAGAGGTCAGCAGCATGATTGGACATCAGCTAAAGCCTGATGCATTATTGTGTCTGTTGGGACTTTTAGACGTTTCATTGAAAAAGTGTAAGAACACAAGTACATTTCTCCTTATGGTGGCAAGGAAAGCAGTGATGATTAAGTGGGTGATGAGCCCCCATCACCTTATCGTGGAAAAAAAAACATCTTGGATACAATCACTTAGAAAAATTGAGATTCTGTGTCAATGGACAATATCATCTGTTCAAAACAAAGTTTGGCATGGTGCTGAAACAAATGCAGATAAGTCTTAATAGTCTGTAAAATGATAAAAAGATTTAGGAGATACACTGTATGTTTTTTTAGTTAGTGTGCCAATCTAACAGATTTGTATCTCTTTGTTAATTCTGCTAGCTGGACCAGTAAATAAAATGAAATTAATAAAAATAATGACAAAACAAGTTAAATTAACAACTGCTGCAACCCACAGATCCCCATGGAATCCATAAGTTGACACTTTTAACAGCTACTGTAACCAAGTAAGTTTGTAGAAGTACTTGTGCACATTTAGAGGCATTGAAAGATGTATCAGATTCCGTTTAATTAAATCAGCATTTAAAATCTACATGGAGTGTTGTCTCTTTTGGGTCATAGTATTTCCCTGACACACCCAGCAAAAATTTGAGCTCCAGTCAAAGGCCCTTTTTGTCACATGCCTTGCCTATTCTATTCTATTGAACAATATGCTATTCACTCACAAGGTATTTAGATTTTCTTCCCCCCAGGCATTTACTTTCTGCTGATGAATTTGCTGAAGATCATACTGGTGACAATATCAGCAAAGATCCTCAATGTCCCTTCCCCCAGCCACATCCATAAGATTTTCAGGTGTAGGCTACACAGTCATTCCTAAACTAACCGAGAGATACAGTCTGTTGAGAAGTTCCTCTGGCGACCCCGTTAGGATATGTCTGAAACCCCTAACAAGTACATATCTGGACGATTTCCTGACTCAAAGCAATAGAAATAGAAGAAATAGAAGAGGTAAAGGTAAGTAGGAATGGGATACAGACCCCAGTTCGGGTAAGAGGTAATGAAAAAATAGAGGGTGCACGAGGCAAAAGAAGACAGAAAAGCAGATTTACCAAACAAACTCCTCCATAGAGCAGGCAATATCCCGAAGCAACACCCAAACTCAAGTAAACCTGCTATGAAGACTAAATAGCCCTACAATCACAGAGAATACCCTCAAAAACAAGGCCAAACAGGCCACCTCAATTAAAATATCCACATGACTTCCACTGGACAAATACTACCTTTCCATCCTCAGTGCTCTGCTTCTGTCCCTAACTCTCCCTTCTTCCTTTCTATGCTTCAGTGTTAAGTCCTTCAAAGGAACAGTCAGCTCAACAAAATAGACAAATTCTACTCCTAAACCACAAAATTATATCGGGCCTTAGATTTCTAGAGGCAGAATAAGTAATTCTTAGTGACTTTTCCACCTCTGACTTCAACCTCTTGCCTTAAGCTGCCCTGCTTTTCTGTGGTTAAACAACCCTTTAAAAATCTTAGAGTCCTTATATAATCTTTCTTCTGATATTCTGCCCTCTTAAGTACTACTAGCCTGCTTCTCAACTATTCCTGCAAAACATTCATTCCTTCCCTCTCTGCCTCTGTAGCTTTTGCCACTGCTTTCTTAATTGTCTTCTTACCTTAACCAATTTCTCCATTCTCTCTTTGCCACAGACACTTCAGTAATTGTACTCTTTCAAAACCTCTTTCTTTTTTTAAATTAAAATCTTTCTACAACATAGGAGTAAATTATATCTCCCAGCCTCTCTAGCCAGTCGCTAATCTACGTAATATTATTGATTTACAATGCCTCTATTGACTAAATCCCATTCTTTGCTGCTTTTTTTCCCCTAGGCCACTTAACCTAGCTTTCTGCTCCATATTGCTCTCTCTGGTTAGCCTATTCACCTAAGTATCAGCTGCATTCCATCTCAGAACATCCATCTCCACAGTGATAGACATACTTCAGACTGTGGTTTTCTAGCTGCTACTGGACTTAATCTGACTTATTTGACTGATTACTCAAAAAAGTAGTGATCACTGTAGCTACACTGCCCGTCTTTTACAACACACTTTTCCTCCAAGATGCATTTGAATGTCTTTAACTGATGTTACTTTCTGCCATGCACAAGAACAAACCCGGGGCATTTCCCTCCCCTCAAGCCAACCACCTTTATTCTCTCCAGCTACACTCACCTTCCTCTGAGAGATATTTTACGCAGCTCAAGCCCAGGAGAAAAAAATGTCAACCCCATATTCTTCTCTGAGTCACATCTCAAACTCAGTCATGTTCACTCGTATGTCAGGTGCCATGTTGTCTGCCTGTGAATCACCTTCTACCCCCTGCTCTTTCTGAGCCTTGGGGTATTCTCCTCAGTTTAGTTGGAGCTTATGCTGGTTGTAACTAAGGCCCGCTACTGCTAACATGAATTACTAGTGGAACAGTGATATATGAGTGATAGAATAAAAGCCACTAGTATTTTTCACACTTTCTAAAAGTTGGACGGAAAGCAATGGCCATTTCTTGATGAATGCTCTACGTATGTTTATACAGAAAGCACTTTATAGCTAGACAAGGAAAGCGCTTAAAAAGTTCAAATAGGGCTAGCTCAGTGTATCTGAAATGTCCCATAATCATGCTGCTAACCCATCAATGATTCATCTTTCCAAACTGCTCACTTTACTGTCCTAGTACATTACATTATTGCTGACTCCAACTTGCGTTACTTGGCCTGGTCATGGTGTATTGTTCTCTCCCTCTTATCCCCTGACCTTCCAGTCAGTTCAGAGATATTTCTAACCTCTGAGAGTCTGGTTCTGCCAGAGGTTTTTTCCTTTGCAGAGGGAGTTTTTTTTTCTTTCCACAGTCATGCTGTATAGGCTTAGGATGGATCACAGTCAAGTTTAATGAACAAAAAATACAAATTAATTTAAATTAATTCAACTAAACAGGAATGTATTAAAGTTCTCATCAGTGTAAATTCTAGTCTACACCTTGTGTTTATGTTTCATAGCTATCAAACCCTGACTGTCTGTTTTTCTTTTTGAGTACCACTTGTAATCTAAAAGGGGGCGGCTGCAACACAGAACTTAAAGCGGTTCCCTGCCAATGGACGTAGCAGTGGTTCAACCCCTGACTCAATGTTGAGGATGGGCAAAGCATGTTGAGTTGCCCGCAACACAGCTTTAAATAGAGCTCAGTATGTCCTGTTTCTCACAGCCACAAGCCTGGATAACTGCAAGGGTTGAGTCAGGAAAAACACCGGCCAAACTTATCATATGCGAGTAAAGGTTCTGGCGACCCCTAATGGGAAAACTTAAACACAAACAATACTGGTAAACTAAAGGATAAGATTTGGTACTGAATGAACTAATACAGATTGAATTATGATAGCTTTAAATTGAATTGGATTGTGTATTTGAAGTGCCAAGAGATAACATTAGTTGTGATTTGGCACTGTATAGACAAAACGAAGTTGAATTTAACTGAAATAAAAAAAATTGATTGTAATTGATGGTAACTTAATGGGAAATGAAAAACAATTCCTTTGGTAGCAAATATAAATACCACACGGCTTATCTAAACCTTGATTTCTCACTTAAAATAAATGGACACCGATACCTTTTGGCCAGTCCACAAATAGTAGTCCCGGATAGCTCTCACCATTACTATGGCAATGGGGTAAGTCGCATTGACAGCCTCCTTTCCCGTGGAAGTCTTGATGAAGTCTGAACCTGTTGGGTTAAATACATAGAATCATAAACAGGTTTTATTGGAAAAAATGTTGGCATACAGGTTGGTATTAATGCATAATGGTGTCAAAATCATCATAGAGGTATTTTTATTAGACAGAACCAATTTCTCAATATTTGGCATTACAGCCAATTATCCTTAACAGGTACAAAAAAATATATATATATTTCACACCACCAACTGTCTGAAAAGATGGGTGGGACCTGAAAGGGCATACTACATTTTGGCAAGTGAAGATGATTGTGGATCCAAGCCAGTAAAAGACAAGACTTCATTGTCAGTCCCACAAGCAAGTTTCAACAATAGTCAAGTTTCAAAACTCTAATCCCATGCCATGAGTCTTATCTCTAAAGTAACACAGAGCATAACACATATATTTGTATACAAATCTCTCTAATAAAAACACTCAATGTCTTTTTATAAAGATGTAAAACATAATCTATGTTGTTTTTCAGGCTGTTCAATTATTAAAATAAAAATATGACATTAGTTTGCAGCAGTGGCAGGAATGGATTACATAGTTATCTTCAGATGCTGTTTTCATATCAATAAATCTGGCATTAAATACATTTTTATACTGGCACGAAAAGGAACTTTCAGTCAAACATGTTGAGAAATTGAAAGATTCCAAGGGTCAGTTTTTTCAAACACTAAGTGTCACTTTGGTTTAATGTGGCTTTTTGTAATGCGGTCATATTGACAACAGTATTGAAAAAAAATTGAGCCTTGTTAAAGTAACGTAACAAATATGCTCATATTATACTATCCTATTAAGTAAGTGGAAATAAAACCAAATTCAAAATTCTACAAATGTGCATTTAATAATTAACTTTACTATAATACTATGATTCAAAATGTTTGTTTTGTGCATGAATTTGTAGTTAAGCCAAGAGGCATCTGTTTTGGAACTAGTAAAGCAGTTTCTGAGTGGTCTCAAAAAAGCTGGATTAATTTCTCTACATCAGGGGTGGGCAACTCCAGGCCTCGAGAGCCACTGTCCTGCAGGTTTTAGAGGTTTCCCTGCTGCTACACACCTGATTCAGATAAAACTGATATTTTCTAAAGATGATTCGCCCTCTGAACAGGACTGCTGATGTGTAGATGAAAATCAGGTGTTTTTATGCAGGGGCACCTCTAAAACCTACAGGACAGCGGCTCTCGAGGCCTGGAGTTGCCCACCCCTGCTCTACATGCTGATTCTTCGCTGTTCATGACACTGAACCCCATGGAATTCCCAATGGTAGAGTAACACACTGAATTTCTCCAAAATAAGACCTTTACAGGATATTTCAATATTACATAAGCCACTAAAGTCAAGAGGAAGACAGTCTGGCATTGTCAGACAAGAACATATGCTTGTCCCTGATAGAGTGCAACCATATGCTTATTATCAGGAAAAAGAAAAAAAAGAAATCCTTCCATTTTCATTCTTTTCTTTCACAGCCATTCAATTGTTTTTATCAGGTAAAAAACAGATTATGAAATAACACTCTTTAATAGACAACAAACAGCAGGAAAAAAAACAGACCGTTTGCATACTGATGTATAATGTTCATTAATGAATGGAATGATTTGAACGACTTCCTTGTTCATTAAAGACTTGTTCTACACATCCCAGTCAGACCTTTTTTTTCTCGCCTCCCTCTCCGTCAAACTGGCATAATCATAAAGATTTGTTATGGGGAGTCTTAATGACCAGATAATGGATGATGGTTATTAAATGCGGGAGGCTATAATGAAGTTCTATTCATTTACGTGAGCAGGGGGTTACTGGCAGGGAACAGTCTGCTTCACAGATTGATAGGTAAAATTCTAATTCAATTTTAGGAATCTCATGCAATTTATAGGAACATAGAGAGATTAAGAAGCAAATGTGGTGACAAAAGTGATGCATTGCAATAATGATCTGTAACACAGCCATTAAAAATTCAGTACTTTTGTCGACCTATTATGTGATGACATATTCTTTTTTTGCACACCCACTTACATGCAAGTTTGCAAATAAATATCTTCTCAGCCATTTCACTAAAAACATACACTGGGTCAAAACCAGTGGATATAAACGGCATCAATTCCTAATCCTCATTATGCAAAATGGCAATCAGACGTGCATTGTGTCCATAAATGGAAGGTTGTGTGTAGCTTTGTCTGAAAAAATTTCTTTGGGCAAACTCAGTTTTTTCACTCAGTGTTCTAAAAAGTTATACATATACATTACACACACACACATATATATATATATATATATATATATATATATCATAGCATCACAACCCATATACACTCCCTGACAAAAGTTTTGGGAACAAGTTGACCTTAAATACCACTCAAATATTTGTCCAATCTTTAAAAAAAAAAAAATGTTTTAACAGGAAGTGGCTAATGTCAATCCCAGCAGCTCTTGAAATGTTTTATTGCCAAATGTAACTGCTGATAAGATTTCTGATGTTGACAGCCTGGTAAAGCCCATTGAGTCTATCTTTGCAAAAACAAAAGTCTTGTCACCTTGTCATATGATGCACACAATTATAGCCTCACCTATGATCAATCATTTATCAATCAATCAGTGGGTGTGTTTAAAAGAACCTCAGCACACCAGACCTCCACATCAACTGCAACTTGACCTCTAACAATATGCCCAAGTGAGACCAAAAGTGTGAATTATCAATAGGCTGAAGACCAGATCCACTTCACAGCTTGCTGACACTTTCAATGTGTCTCAGTGGCAAGTAAAAAGAACAAGAAAAAGATTTGAAGAGACTGAAGATGTTTTTGACAAGCCCAGGTCCAGCAGACCCCGCAAGACAACTGCCCGGGAGGACCATTTGTTAGCTCGAAAATCCAAGGCCAGCCATTTTTCCACAGCAGCAGAGCTCCAGCAGGCCAGGTCACCTGAAGTCCCTGTGTCAACCAGAACAATTTGTACAATTCTGTCTCTAACTGCCTCTCATGTTCAAATCAGTGCCCAGAAACCAGCACTAAACATAAGGCAAGATTTAGGGAATGGGTCCCTGAGTCTGGTCCGATTGTTTGTTGCACAACTTTCTTATGAGGACTTGTTGGGCCGCGACAAACTTTATACAACTGAAAAGATGCTGAACCCCCTTTTATACTGATCAGAAACTTAAACCACTTGGGCTGGTTTTAAAGCTGTGACCTCTTCCTTAATTATTACTTTGTTAATCCTGACCAAATCTTTCCTTTTCCTCACTTTGAGCCATGAAAGAGAAAGAAAATCAGAAATTTCTGTTTGTGCATTTTATAAGTCTGACCAAATTAAGTTATTTTTCTTCCTGAAAAATGTATGTTTCCTTGCGTTTTTATCCTCACCAGAATAAAAAGCCACCTCAATACGTTTCAAGTCAAGCAATGTAAAGTAATGGCATTGCATTACATTCTGTCATATTGTGCATAAATCTTTTGCAAGCAATACATGTGGAAATGGAACACACAAAAACCTTTGGTTCTATTTAGCTAACAAACATTTAAATTAAATACGGTAATATAAAAAGAGAAAGGGTGATCATAATAGAAATAATTAAATATAAAAAAATACACTTAAGTTGTGAGACTCACCAGCCATCATGGCAACCAAACTGGCTTTGTAGACAGTGGTAAATGTCCCCAGCTCTCCAATAGCCAGAATGGTTTTCATGTGAGCATCGCCACAAGCCTCTCGAAATTGGCGAATTTCATTGTACATAGCTGGGAAGGAGAAAAAAGGAAAAACTTACAAAAAGTAGCTTGTCCATGTTCAAAACTGCTTTCTTCACAATACTTTGACTGTTTGTGCCTGTCAAATGCTTATGAGAGCAGTTTCATTTTCCAACATTTTCCTCAGACTGCAGATATGTATTATCTATGTGAATTAGTGCTTTAGTTTTTTTTTTCTTGAGATGCAGAACAAGGAACAGACAAAAGCTATGAAGTAATTATGTTTCATTTTTTTATGTTGTGGCAAGGAATTGCTCAAAAAGACTTATATGACCAAGCTAAGATGCAATTTTTTCTGGCTTTGCACTCTAATTACCAGTGCAACGATAATGCAATGGATTTCAATCTATCTTGAAATATAAACTAAATATATATTGCTGAAGATACTATGTTTGCAGAACACAATGATAAAACATTTACTTATTGTGCCATTAAGAATTGACACACCAATACATTTAAGAAAATAAAAACAAACCTGGTCTACAAGTTATTATTCTAAGAAATTAAAGAAAAGTAAATAACCGATTGTGACATTATTTCGCAATTACAGTAATCTGTGCTAAGTTTATTTGTCCCGTCAAAGCATACCTTCCCACTGTCCTGTAAGGGCAAGCATCCTGTTTATGACTATGTCAATTTCTGTAGCCCCATGACTCACTGCCGTGCGGACTTCCTGCAGTCGTATTTCCAATGGTGTCTGGCCTGCAGGGAATCCAGTGGCAACTGTGAAAACATGGAAAGCAATATTATATACTAAATACACTGTTTATTTTTCAGGTATACAGAATTTAGTTTAAGGCGACTTACCTGAGGCAACGGGTAGATTAGAGTTAGCTCCTTTCAGTGATTTGATGGCATCAGCCACACGAGATGGGTATACACATACTGCTGCTGTAGTTATTCCTTATAAACATCAAGAAACAAAGTAAAGAGGAAACTTTCAAATTAACTGGTCTGTAACTCCCTCTTCTGGTTAAACTTATGTTTGAACATTTTCAAAAGACAAAATCTTCAGAAGGCAAAGATGTACTGCTATTCAACCAATGTGAACCACGGCCTAAATCAAAGCTATTTTTTGACCCCGATTATATACTTGCCCAAAAGGGGGTTGAATGATATAGAGGTTATTTGAGCAGCCAAATATCTGTTCTTATGTCATCAACTATTGTTACTTCCTGACTTACTCAAAATTACACTCATTGTTTACACCAAAATGTTACAAAATCTCTGCAAATCTTTGATGGAGAGTGCAATCTGTTTTTTGCCATCTGTTGGGGCAGAAGCATGAGTACCAGTGACTCAAAGAAACTATACTGAATGAAACAGGCTGGCTCTTTGCTCAGGACTACTCTGGACATGATCTAAAATAGTAAAATGCTACATACGTTAATAAAGAAAGAATAACATAAACAAATGTTCAGAGTGCATCTTTTTCAGCACTACTGTAACAACAAGATCAGGAAAGGCCTTTCTACCAACATATACAGTCCTATTCACAATCTTAAACTACTGAAATCATGCAAATTTAGCACAAGTGTAAGATTAAAAAGTGTAAGTTAAAAATATTGAACCCTAAAACCTACTCAAACAGCAATAAAGTCTCAAAACCGTCTCAGTAATGGGACGCTCCACCATTATTGTTGATCTATGCAAAAATTCGTTTTGGCATGCTTGAGGCAAGTGTTTCCAAAAGGATAGTGGGAGTCTTCTTCCAACTGGTGAAGATGGCTCCACAAGGGGCATCCACTGTCTGGAAATAATGTCCATTTTTGTAAATTTCCCTTGACATCCATCCCCAAATGTTTTCAATTAGATTAATATCAGGGGGACATGCAAGATGGTCCAAAAGAGTGATGTTATTCTCGTAGAAGTCTTGGTCAGAAGGTCATTATGAAATGTGGCGTTGTCCTGCTGAAAAACACAGTCAGTACCACAAAGACGCGGGCCCTCAGTCATGAGGGATATCCCCTGCAACATCTCCACATAGCCAGCTGCTGTTTGACACCCCTGTAAAACCTGGAGCTCTGTTGTTCCTGTTTTTGAAACCCTTCCCTCACAGATGCCATCTGTGAAGGCTGCACAGTACAGTACTGGCCTTACTTTCGGAGGAGGATCGTCTCGTGTCCTGATGGACAGCCATTCGGATACTCCGGATCAGTGCTGGTGAGATTTTTTTGGGTCTACCATTTTATTTAATTTGTTCTATAACCCTGGGAATTGTTTAACAAATGCAAAATGACTGTCTTACTGCATCTATCCTCAACTGCGATGGCACGCTGTGAGAGCCCTTGTTTATGCAGCTCAACAATTCTACAAAGTTCAAAGACAGTCAGCTTTTTTGACTTTGCCATCAAGAGCTCTTGACAGTTTGATTACTTGACACGAAACGACATGAAATCCAAATTTTTGCTTAGGGTTTGGCTTTTAATGGCTGTGGTCTTAAACTTTTGATCAGCGGTGGAAAATAAATTTAAATAAATTGCTTGCTTAAAACTTTTGGTCTATTGTTTTCATTTCTTCGTTTTGCATTTTGAAGGTCTAATTAGAACGTTCCTAAAATCCAACAGTGCACAATTCTAATTCATGCCATTTTTTAACTAATCTCATGATTTTGATCAGGACTATATGATGAAAGTTTATGGCAATTGTTTTAGAAAGAAAATTGCAATTATATAATTTACTTTTTGAATAGATTCAATATTTTTTCATTTACTTACTTTCTCCATTTTGATAAAGCAAAACAGAGATTCATACAGTGAAACAGTATTTTGTGATAGTAAAAGTCAGCAGCAGAAAAAGACCTTTGTCATGGAGATCCATCTTCTTGAGCAAGTCATATCGAACTGGCTGAATGGCTTTAAGACAGAGCCGATGGACATTGGAGGGGGTATCATCTCCAGCCAAAGTTGTCAAGTCAATACATGTAACAGCCTTCAGTAGCCAGGCAGTCTGCATGGAAAAACAAAACAAATACCACAGAACATGAAAAGAGTTCAGTGTGCATGCTCTGTGTTTCACATCAAAACTAGCAACTATATGAACCTTGCATATGATTTCTTAAACTCTCAGGAACATTGAAAGCCATTGCTTACATTGAAATAATCAAGGACTAGGACCAAATTAAAGATAAACAAAACCACTTGCTATAATATGTAATAAATAGCTTTTAGATGTAGAAATATTCTAATCATTCCAATATCAGTTCAGAACAAAGGATTAAATAAGCTAAGCTTTAATGCGTTCAATATATTTAGATCTGAAAGATTTCCAGGGTAATACAATGACCAAGCAGCACTTCCTAATCACAAATATAATGCCATTTAATGCAAAATGCCATTGTTAATGTGTAATTTAGTGTTGAGTCTTCTGATTGTGGTATTTATTGTTCTTGCAAGCCAATGGCACTGTGCCTAATTGTTGAGGTCAACTTGCAGGAACTAACTACATCCAAATAATGTGTAGTATTTTCATGTCTGAATGCTGGTCCACAAGTGTCTATCTAGGTGTGAATAAATGAATATATTAATATATTGAGTACATGCAGAGCAAAACATCCAATTTATACTTATGCACATACTCACATGCTTGTTACTGGTTGCCATTTTATGTTTCTAGTGAGAGATGATGTCAATATTACTTATTCAACTAGATTTTTAATATTATGTGTATTAGTAAATCCGAGGTCAGTAAGCTTAGTTGGGTGGCTAAAGCCAAATTATGGTATTTTAATGCCCCCTTTAGTAACTTCACTGGTACTGCACAATTGATTTAAGATAATCAATATGTGGTGTTTCTTTTGTTGAATAGATGCCCAACATACCTACAATAAAGTGATAAAAAAATGTCCTTTAGATTGTTATTTGAAATAATCATTGTGTAATACATTTCTCTTGTAGAACACATGTTCAACACACCCAACTACAATAAAGTGATACAACTCTAAGTGCACTGCAAGTCTTTGTCATCCTTGACCAGATGCCTCTGGTAGCTGCAACTAATTGAACACTTATAGAGATTACAACAGTAATAGACAAGTAACTACTGCAACCTTGGCGATTAAAACACCAGCATTGGTTAATCTATATCTACTGACTGACTTTCAGAAAATGTGTCAAACACTTGTGGTTTTATTGTCAGGCAACAGCATAGATGCAGTGACTCTTCATGTTTGAGTCTGATATTGCTATCTGTTATATCATCTGCCATTTTATCAATTTTATTTGCAGTAACTAACTTTTTTTGACACTTTCATTAAGCATGTTACATGAAAAGGACAGAAATATGAGTTAACTAGACTTAACTTGGCTGAAATCATGTTGAAGAGCAATGAGCTGCAATATTGGTACAAATGTGTATGGATAAAGTTAACTGATGAGAATGGCTAGGGGCTGCGTATATATGGCAGATGGTAACAAAAAAACACTAAAAGAAATAATCATTTTAATTTTCTTAATATCAAAATTTTAAAATATTTTATTGTGGATATATCTACTAATCATCAGATTAGTTAAATACATATTAAATACAATATAACCAAATGTTTAATGATTATGATTAATGTTTAATGTAATGGAATATATAGAAATAGCATCATCATTTTTTTTTTTTTTCTTTTGGATTTTAAGATTGAATAAACAATACATCTAGATAAATATATGAATATCTCTATCATAGTTATACATAAAAATATCTTTGAAATATCTGTGAACAAAATAGTTTTGTTCACAGTTAAAGGATAATAGACTGTTATAAATAAGAACCTGGAGAAAAGAATACTCACCTGCCACTGTTTCTTTGGGACCTTCTGTCCTTGAATGCCCTGAGCCCTCTTCAGGATGGCCTGTGTATTCACTATTACTTTGGATATTCTTTCCAAATCTGGTTTACAAAAAACAGACAGTAAGAATTAAAGAAAGGTGTTTGCTTATTCACTGTTGCTTTCCTGGGTGTTAAGTTTTATGAAGAAAAAGCATTTTGCTAGATATACACAATATATTCATACACACATGACCACAACTTAATCTGCAACAGGGAGCAACATAACCCCACAGACAAAATAAGGACAGCTAAATGTGAAGGTAACAGAAGACTTCTCTAAATCTCCCCATACAACCTCACACTACAGGAAAGGAAGGCAGAGAGATCCCTCAGCAGAGCCTATAATATCACCATCTTGCCAGCAGGCAGGGGAACGTACACTGTGGCTCTCAACACAGCCTTTTCCTCAGAAATATAACATAATTGCTGAAGTGATATCACTATTTACAATGCTCTGAAGAGGGACCATACACACCACTAAACAATCAAATTCAAGAGTTATAAGTGTAGTAGCCGTTTGTCGAACAAACTTTTAACGAAAATTAAATCCAACTAAAAATAAAACAAACGGCAACTTCTGGCACCCTGGGCAGGTATCGTACGCAGGCAAAAAGGATTCAACGCAGAATTTGTTCTTTAGGGCTGTTTATTGCTGTTTCGCGTGAGCAACCTCTTGCACTGGTAAAAAACCATTTGCCCACACCCAGGTGCATACAGGTGTGTGCTATTACTCACTTAAATCCACCCTTACCTGTGCGCACCACTGCCCCAGGTGTCTAAAACCAAGTACTACAAATTAATAAATTTACCAAATAAAGACTAAACAAAGCAAAACAATTAACTAGACGAATTACAAAAAGAATATTACCAAAATATGAAACTATCATTAATGTAAACAAATTCATAATAAACAAACAAATCAACAGAATTACCCTCAAAGTAAAAATGCAAAATGGCTCCCACA